GGCATTAGCAATTTTTATTTCATCGACCTCGCTTATGACATTCATATTATTACTCATCATGTAAATATATTAGATATACTCGTGTTATTGTCGAAATCACTAGTACTAAAAAGTGTGTACGACGATGGATAATTAAGATTATGTATTTATGTGTGTGTGTAAGTATGTGTGAAGGTGTGTGGGAGTGTGTTTCCATGTATAATCTGTAAACAAAAGCGGAAAATAGTTTTAGCTCAGAAACTTATTACTTTTTTAACTACTAGCGTCAACGAAGCGGACAAACATAGTTTTTGTTTTGAAAATCAAAACAAACAACTGCACACCCGCATCGATTACAGCGGCGGGCAAAAAGCATCGTGACGTGTAGGTAACGCAAGTTTGAGATCTATCTGGCGCACGAAGGCATCGTCCGCGGTCCACTCCTCCGCATGATAAATATCCGTTTCCCCGCTTTTTACGCGAGGGTGTCGCGCAAAAAAAATGAATAAGGAAATTTACCTAATGGCCGCGATTCTTTATTTTCTATCTCCATTGTCGCGAGGACAATGCTGTAATGGAGGGATCTCGTGAGTGGGCTTCACTCTGCGCAGCATTTATTTTATTCTTTTTACGTTTGAAGAGATACTTACATACGTACTTACATACTAGGTAGACGTTCATAATTTTATATGTGTATGTATACATATACATATACTTAGAATAATAACGCATAGAATGATAGTTTCATTTGAAACGAACTGTCACAAGTGAGGCAAAAATCAAATTCATGTAGGCGTAAGCAACTTGTATCTACGCTCGTCGGCACGCACACAAATTTGTACGCATTTAACAACAACATTTGTACGCATTCAACTTGCAGAAATGGACGTCAAACGCACACGTACATTAGAATAAAAAAAATATCTGCAGCCATCGCGATATTGCATATTCTCAAAAAATTACATAATATAATTATTTTGAAACAGCATTCAACATTTTCGTGTCTTGTTGCAACAAAATTAATTTTCGGTTTTAGTGAATATTTATATAAAAATACAAGTTGAAACGCGTTACTGCCTTGTGGAATGTGATGTTAGTATTTATTTTATATTTGTCTGACGTATTTTTACACTCATTTACCGCACATTTCGTCATTTTCAGCTAAAATTCTTGATCTGTTCGCGGTGCAAGTTGACCTTGAGCACTGGCGGCCCGCCCGCTCGTGTAGGCCCATTGGGAGCGCTTCAATTTGCCTCACTTAGCGTGTGCGGACTAGGTTTCTATGCGTAATTATTCTAAGTATATATATATATATATACTCTATTATATGTATGATCTTAATTAATAAATGCATGATAAGTAATTAAGTAGTTACCTAAATACGACATATTCTTTCTATTACCTATATATATATAGAAATAAATGTCATTGTGATGTAGGAATTCCACAAGGACAAGAACCAACAAGATATCGCCTTGCCCGTGACAAAATTTTATATTTATCTGCTTCGTAAGAAATTAATATTAAACATGCAATATGGAGCTAGTATCAGGGAGGTCAATAAGTACTAGGTTACGAATTTTATACTAATGAATTACTTAATTTTAGGGGTTGCTTGGGCACTTGTTGTCTATTGTGACTTTTTGTAAACTCTCAGAGCGAGTAGTTCGATGCATTCGATGCAGCTAAAAGTGACTCAATCTGATTTGAAATATTTTCCTGTCAGCATACAATCTGGGGGCCTACCATAACCTTTCCAAAAACAATCTTATTTCAATGTAAGCATAACGTAAGCTTATTGTAATATTACTCATTTTCGTACCATGACAAACCTATTAACAAAATAATGTATTATTGCTAAAGTTACTGAAAGAACGAATGATTTCCCATATTGTCTATTCTTTACTAAAAGTAGAAAAGAAATAACGCTTTATGAACTGTATAATGCCATCTCTTTCTTTTTTGATGTTCCGAATCGTGTTATCGTAGTATAATGTTAAAGTACTTAATATTATTTACATTCAGAGAATTTTAACTGCCAAAATAAAAGTATGTAATAATGAAATCTATTAAAATTACGTTGTTTTCAATTATTATTCTGCATTTTCATGAAGATAAATAAATAAAACAAGCTGAGTCTTGATAGTCACGTTGTGAATTCGGAACTATAGTCCAGTGTCAACTGTTAGTTTCGCCAAGGATCATATAGATGGCGCTGTCATAATTTTACGAAATAAACATCGCGTATTTTTATTTTACGAGAAATTATTTCCTATGTGCTATTAAATCAAAAATAAACGAAATATTGAAGAGATATATGTAAATAAATAAGTTCAACTTAACTTTTAATCATTACAAATCAATATTAATACAATAAAACTGAAAATAATATAGTTTCCATTGCATTCGTGTAACTATTTTAAGATTGCTAAATTTGACATAAAAGCAATATTACTTTACTGTCAAAGTCGCGTCATAGTACGAACAGAGTGAATGAATAGTCACAAAGCTGCCAATAAAATATCATAGTTTTAACATTGCAAATAAGCTTACTTTAGGCGCGTTATGGTACGAAAAGTCAATGTTATGGTTAAAGTACTATTGTTGTAAGAGGTTGTGGTAGGCCCCCTGGTCTGGTGCCATACTCTTCTTAGCCGTCTCTTTTCAAGGATCACTTTCCAGATTTCCAATGAATGAGTTGATCTGAAATTTTCTTGGTTCTATGTCAGAAGTAGTCACCCAACACGCGTCCTGGGTGAGGTTTGTTATGAGTCTGGTCGCGTTTTCAATATCGTCATGAGTTTTAAGGGTAACTTTTTAGTTAATTCTGTCTTTTAGAGTCAAAGTTAAAGAATCTTTTATTCCATAGGCAAAATAAATTTACACTTGAAAACGTCATTTTTAGCTACTGCTCATTCACTGTGCTGGTTTCCCTGAGAAAAAAGAACAAAAAACTCTAGGGAATGCTCTTTTCAAATAAAGTTAAACGCTATGGAATACACTTTGAATCAAATTTGTGTGGAATCGATCCAACACGTAGTCTTCAATTTTGTAATATTAGTTTTCAATTAAAATACTTTTAATATAGGCTTAATAATAATAATAATAATAATCCATTTATTTCAGACTTACATTCATCCATAATATTTGTTAGTAAAGAAAAATACTTAAGCTTATGTTAGGTTTAAAATAATGACATAATACCAGCCAATGTCAGGACAACTGGCTACGCATTGGCAGCGGTGTGCAAGCGCGCACACACCGCCCCAGCATTGGGGACTCCCATCTTTCCACCGATGTGCTCAGGACGCTGTTCATACTGAGACGCATTCGACGGAGTAACGATGCACTACGCTTTCGCATGATAGCGTAGAAATTGTCTACGTTTCTCAGTAAACATGGTTGACGCGCTACAGAAAGGTGGAAGTCGGAACAGCATCCTGAACGCATTGTTGTACTGCGCAGTGCTCCCCCAAGGAGCACACTTTATACGCCTTAAAACTGTTACATCTATAAACAGTCTTAATATGGTATAGATTTAGATAATAAGTTCTCTATAAATGGTTTTAGAAAAAATAAATTGTTCTTATAGACTTATTTCACTCAAGTCAAAATTTTTAAACCTTCTTAATACCAAACAACTTAATTAAGTGTAATTATGTAATCTCTCTTAAGATTTACTCTTATAGTCAATGCTTATAGTCCTTATTTTATGTTCATCTGTAGAACAATTGATTATTTTTAGTCAAATTGTTCTATTCACATCCGGTAAAGTCTATTAATACTCTAAAAACTAGTGTTCTTAAGTTTATTCTAGATATATTTAATTTATAGACATTCTGTAGAGTTTGTACTTATGACAAACACGTTATAGCGTGTCTTCAGTAGATTTTATTTAAAAACATACTACAATTAGGGTTTTGACTCTATTTGACGTTGTAAGATTTCATGCAAAATAAAGTAAAGAATCTGGCGGAGGTGGTGAATCTTAGATATTATGTCACATCATTCGAAACAATTAGCGTTGCCAATGCCAATTGTTCAAAATCCCCAAAAATCACAGTTAAAATCCCCAAATTTCCCCAAAGGGAAAGCAAAGTTCATATTCCCCATAAGTTCCCCACATTTCGCTTTTTCATTATTTTATTAGAAATACATCGCTTAGAAATATAATTGTTCGGGTTAATTTCAGGTTCTGATATGGGTAGACGATACGGCGGCCTTTGCTCCCTTATTAAAACACTTACTGAATTGGGAGATAATTTCAGTATATTTTAAAGGCTTTTAAAAGCGAGACCTTTCTTCTAGCAAAAAAACTAAAACAATTGTGATATGGACAAAGGTGACATACATCAATAAGGAAAATAAAAAATAAAATATTAAGCCAAGAAGGTTTCGCGACAATAATAAAAAATTAAGAAACTCAAAATTTTATTTAATTAAATTTTTATTGAATTGATATTCAATTATTTTTTGTGAAATTACTCCACTAGTTCGATCCGGTCGGATCGGTCGAAGGAATTTTTTCTGAGTGTTTTTTCTGAGTGTTCGATCTTTGTATTAATAATTATAACAAATTTTATTTACTTTTACACACGCTCGTTTACCTCCTGTGTCGACTGCGTTTGTACACCGCCTCTTGCTTCGTTGCATAGGTTTTCGAGTAAAGAAGTGAACAAACGACATTTCGGGTAAACGCATGATGGCTGTAAATTGCGCAGGATGCGGCAGCAAAATAAGAGATTTGTACTATATGGAATGCTCTGAATAATAAATGCAAACAGACATATGACCTGGTATGCATAAATATTGACAAAGATCACTTCAAGGACCTGTCACATTCATATAAAGAAAATTGGCTCTGCCCATTTTGCGTATGCTCGCGACTAAAAGGAGATAACACGTCCACACCAGTACGTTCGCCCAACAACAAATGCAATAATGTAAACACGCTCCTCGGAAGTAGACAACCTGTGAGAAAACCCTCTACTACTAAGGATGTGCCGTCGACAAATATCGAAATGTCAAAGCTGGTATCTGAATTACGTCAATTTAGGCAAGAAGTAACCGAAGTGAAGCAACAAAACTTGGAAATAAGAAAACACATGTCCTCAATTTTAGACACTTTGAGTAACACTCTGAAAGAGCATTCCAAGAAGCTACACGACGCACAATTGGAAATTGTAGATCTCAAAGTGACTATTGGGCATCTTCAACAACAAATTGCTACACGCGAACAGGACGTTTTGAGAAACGATGTTGAGATTTCTGGAATCACGGAACAGCCGAATGAAAATCTTTATCACATAGTTATAACGGCTTCGCAGAAAATAGGAGTTGAGCTGTCAGAAAACGATATTGCAGACGTCATTAGAGTAGGTCCGAAAATTCAAAGATCTGTGAATTCTGAACAAAACATTGCAGTACAGCGTCTAATAGTTCTGAAGTTGATGAGAAAACGAAAACATGATGAGTTGATTAATGCTGCAAAGTCCAGGATAAACTTAACATCCGAAAACGTAGTGTATGGTCAACCAACAAAAATATACTTTAATGAAAGACTTACGAAAGAAAATCGCCGGTTATTTCGTGAGTCTAGATTACGTGCAAAAGAATATGCATTTCGCTTTACCTGGATTCGAAATGGCGGTATTTACGTTAGACGAGACGCCGGGACGCCGGCAATTAGGATTTCATCACTGCACGACCTGGACCAAAAAGTCGGCATTCCTAAACCTTCAGAAGAGAACTACTCATCGGGACCTTATGATAAATAACGCACACACACTCAACATAGCCCCACACTAGGGAAACCCTGTGTCGCGGGTGCCATGGACACACACATAGACAACCACAAATTACACCCAAACTCACGAGAGAAATAAATGTAAGCCATACAAACATTTCTCCCGGCCCGGGAATCGAACCTGGGACCTCTGCGTGGCAGTCCGGCATGGTAACCGTTCGGCCATTATGATCTTTGGTATATACCGCTCCCCGTCCTTCACAAATGCCAGCGGCTTCCTTCGTTCTCTGGACGCTGTCCTATGTAATGCCAGGAGTTTGCGTAATATTATAATTACTGGCGATCTGAATCTCGATATATGTTCCGTACCTTTGAGTGAGCAGTGCTCAGAATACTTATATATCTTAACAGCGCACCAGCTGCTACCAGCTATCACTAAACCATCCCGAGGTGAAGCATGTCTGGATCATTGTTTTGTAAAAAAGCCTGAAAAGGCGGTAGGTATGGTTTGTCTTAGTGATATAACAGACCACTACATCTGCGTGGTAGGCACAAAGATCGGAAAAACAGATCGTCTCACAATTGCACGATCCCGTCTGAAGACGGATAACGTTGCTGTAATGGAAGAGCTTCGCCATGTAAACTGGGCGCCTATCATGGACACTTCTGATGTTGACGAGGCAGTAGAACATTTTACAAATATTATTGATACTGCAGTAACTAACAACACACGAGAGTTTACCATAAGTCGTTCTAAATTTAATCTCAAACCGTGGGTCACCCCGGGTCTTATTAAATGTCAGAGGAACCGTGACCTACTACACCTTAAAGCCAAACAAAACCCCTCGAACAAAACAGCTCAAATAATCTATAAAAGATATCGCAATTTTCTTAATGGTCTCGTCGTAACTCTTAAACAGACTCAAAGCTAACTATGAGAACGAAATTCTTTCTACAAACAAAGACAACCCCAGAAAGCTTTGGTCCCATATTAAAGAAATATGTCATATAAAGAAGGTGCATAATCTTCCAGCTGAACTAGCTTATACAAAGTCAGACCCTCAGGCTTCTCTCAATTACTGCAATAATTACTTTGCTAATATCGGTAATATCCTGGCCAATGTTACCTTAGAAAAACTTTCCGTTACTCAAACATCCTTAGCAAATGCGGTTAACATTGAGACGTCAAAGCCAGATTCCTTTTTCATGAACCCCACTGACATGGATGAGGTTAGCAAACTAATAAGCGACTTCAAGCGGGCTGGTTCACCGGGTATTGATAAATGCACTCCATTACTTATTAAAACAATAAAAGATATTATAGTAATGCCTTTAACTCATATTTTTAATCTTAGTTTATCTACCGGTGTTTTTCCAACGATCTGGAAGGTATCCCTGCTCACCCCAATCCATAAGAACGGCGACAGGAGAGATCCATGTAACTATCGTCCAATTTCACTGCTAACAATTTTCTCGAAGTTACTGGAAAAATTGGTAAACAGAAGGATTGTAGCTTACCTCGAAAAGAATGGACTCATACCTGATAGGCAATTTGGTTTCAGGCGTGGTAAATCAACAGAGAATGCCGTGTTACTCCTGACGAATCTGATCTCTTCTGCCTTGGACAACAACAGACGCTGTCTTGGGGTGTTCCTTGATCTCACTGAGGCATTTAACACTGTCTCCATTCCAATACTTTTGCAGAAACTAATCCGAGTGGGTATAAGAGGAGTAGCACACAATTGGTTTAGTAGCTACTTAACGGATAGAAGTCAATGTGTTAAAATCGGCTTGAAGATGAGTGACCAGCTGCCTGTAAAGTTTGGCGTGCCTCAGGGAAGTATCTTGGGTCTAACTCTTTTCATTATATACATGAGGGACATCTTAGAACTATCAATAGCTGGAGCTGATGTTGTTTGTTACGCTGATGATACAGTCATCTTATTTCAGAATTCCTCTTGGGAAGATGTGTACAGGACGGCGAATAAAGGTATGAATATGATAACAGACTGGCTAGATAGGAACCTGTTGACGTTAAATATATCCAAAACAAAATATATTCCATTTCACAAAACGCAAGCTTCTGCACCACCTTCTTCTATACTGTTAAAACTCCACGCTTGCAGCTCTAACTCTACCAGTACTCCCTCTTGTTGCTGTTTAGAAATAAAGCGTTCACAATACTTAAAATATCTCGGAGTTATTCTGGACGACCATCTGTCATACAAAAATCATATAGCTAATCTCTCAGCACGCATTAGGAAAACTATATTCATAATGAAATGTATCAGACACTCGGCTCAATGGAATATCTTACTCTTAGTTTATAAAGCTTTATGTCAATCTTTACTTATTTACTGTGTCAAAGTCTGGGGTGGTGCACCCAAAACATATTTTATGGAACTCGAAAAGACTCAACGGGCAGTGCTTAAAGTTATGCTTCGCAAACCTTTTGAGTATAGCACAGATAAACTATACGCAGAGTGCAGAGTTTTGAGAGTTCGTCAGCTATACATACTTAAAGCTGTGACATCTACTCACAGCGCAACATTAAAATCTCAAAATTATAAACAGCTCATTGAGAGGCGTGTGTACAAAATCCCAGTGCCCCCAGTTCGAACCACTTTTGCAACTCGTCTTCCATTTTTTCTTTTGCCACACATCTATAACTTTGTATGTCGAAATTTCCCCCAGATTAAAACGATGTCTACGCAGGAGGTGAAGTGTCTGATTGAGTCCTGGCTAATGGAACTCGATTACCACCAAACAGAAAGCATAATTAAGAAAATTTATTGACTTCCCTTATACTACATTCACTCACACCACGTCCTCAGAAGCACAAACACACAAAAGCACACCCACAGAACAACACACACACACACACACACTCACACTCCCAAACACACACACACACACACACACTCACACTCACAAACACACACACTCACTCACTCACTCACACACACACACACACACACACACACACACACACACACACAGACACACACACACACACACACACACACACACACACACACACACACACACACACATCAATACACTAAAATTAATCTAAAATTAATTTAAGTATATTTATTTGTAATCAAAGCATAAGGAGGTTTATAAATTTTAATGCTAACACTAATTTATAAAACCCCTTGAACCTATATAACATAACTGTGTGCCATACTGGACATAGTATACCAACTAGGTCTCTGCGATACAAGTTTATACTTAGTGCAAGGACCGCGAGAAATCATTGGTAGATAAGAGTTATGTAACATAGTTAATATGGTGTAAATGCTAATAAATGTAATCCTATTTGGTCAATAAAGCTTATTATTATTATTATTATTATTAAAATATAATAATCTATTACGTTTGCTGTGAAAGTAAACAGAATGTAAAATATAAAACTAATTATAAAATTAGATGACCTTAAATCGTTTATTTATTTTAATTAGATTCAACAATAATCACAGGGATCGGAGTATGTAGAGGTTTTTTACCTAAACTTCGAGGAACATAGACAGAAAATGGAGACTGCCTTACGACAATATTTTTTAGGTCCCAGGACCTTTTCGGGATTGGGGAAATCACTTAAGAACATTAAAAATTGACGTAATGGAGGACAGACAGGTACACTATATTTATCTTAACTTTGCGACGCACAGTGGATCGGGTTTGCGATATTGCGGACATTGGATTTTTTTTCACGATACGTTCCAAAAAAAAGTGCCAATCGAGAGATCCTATTGTCCTAATTAAATATTGTCATATCACATTTTGCCATAAATATAATAGTTTAGTAGGAAAAAAATAAAATGTGTATTTTTTGTATGGAACCATACCTTTAGTG